GCAGGCTCTCAACCAAGAAATCCCGAACAGCTTCGGCCCAAACAAGGAAGCAACAGTGGACAGAACATGCCCGTACATCTGGGTTTCTTGCAGAGGTTCATCCTTGGACCACACACGAACATGAGATACCTGCCACAGTCTATGAGACTCTTTACACAGCAAACAAACACTCAACCAACCACAATCGAATCAAGTCAATCAATCAACCAAAGAATCCACCAGCCAATCGAACTAACCAATCAACAAACCAATCAACCAACCCAAGCCAAGCCAAGCCAAGCCAAACCAAACAAACCAACCCACCCACCAACCCACCCACCAACCCACCAACCCACCCGCCGACCAGCCGACCAGCTGACCAACAAACCAACCAAACAAATACACAAACAAACAGTCTCCTGCTCCTTTACATTTTGAACTAGGCTGAACTTTGCCACCAGTTTGTTCGGGTAGGCGCTTTGGAGGTTAGGGTGTGCTGCCCAGTTGGTTTCAAACTGAAGCCAGGCCATTTGCACCAGCCTGGGGCCATCTGGCTTGAATCCCAATCAGAGTTCCTAGATAAACACACCCCCCACCCCCGTGATGCAAAGGGTTTGAACTACAAATGACCTGGCCATTCTGAGAAATCCGCTCTGCCAGCTCTTAGTCAAGACCCTTTGGACGCAACGGCAGAGTGAGCAAGAGAGAGAGAGAGAGAGAGAGAGAGAGAGAGAGAGAGAGAGAGAGAGAGAGAGAGCTCTTAGCTCCTGTTGAATGGGCGGGGGGCCTTGGCTAACTGGGCTTTTGTTTCCGACGACATGGTTTCGGCTTCTGGTCCACGAGTAAGACACAGATTCCCATCCAAGCGGCTTGCCAGAGCCGCTGCCGCCCACAAAGGCCGTGGTGGAGCCCGCAGAGATGTCCAGGGTCACACCCTTCAGGATCAAGGTGTCAGGGCGCTTGGGGTAGGAGAAGCAGATATTCTGGAAGGAGATCTGGCCCTGCAGGCTCTCCAAGGTCTTGCCGCCGCCTTCGCTGAAACCATGGCAAGAAGGGTCCCAAGAGGAATCTGTCTCGAGTCCCGAACATCAAAACATATCAAGTCATTGGGGGGGGGGTTTTGGAGGGGAGGGGAGGGGGCTGAAGTCCTCACACCCCCCGGGGGGTTTGGGGCCCCCCCCCAGGGCCGAGGGGCTGGTGGTATGCAGCGGCTCGTCCAGGATCTCGTTCATGCGGTGGATGGCGGCTTTCGCGGTGGCGAAGGCGCTGAAGCACATGTTCAGGGTGCCCAGGCCCATGGTGAAGCCCCAAACCACGGTATACCTAGCGTCACCCCGTCACCCCCCCCCCCTCCCCCCCCGCGGTTCAGAGAAAGGAGCGTTCAGACTTATTTGGACGTCAACATCACTTCGTCAGGCAAATGACAGGTATGCGCGAAGCATGGCCAACAGAGTGGGGAGAGCTGGCCGGTGAATGCTCTCATCAGCCAACTTCCGACCTGCATCCACTTTCCTGCCGCGCACAGTGGAGAGCGTGCACGAGACTAGATGCTCCCTTCTGAGTCGTAAAGCGTTTACGCGAAGCTAACGCTGCGGCAACTCGGAAAAACCTGCCGGGGGGCGGCCTTTAAAGGGAACATGGTCTTCCAGGCCCCCCGTGCCAGGTTCCATGGTGAATTGGTCGGAGGCTAAGTTCCCTCGTGAGCATGAAACACGGTGGGCTACGCTATGTGCAGCCTGGCGGCATGGCGGAGAGGATGGTTCCACCCGTCCGGCAATTTCCAAATGGCGGCGAGGACCGCCAGCAATCCTCAGCCCAATGCTAAAGCATCGAAACAGTACTGGGCTACAAGGCAACAGGAAGGCTCAGTTAGAGGACAGCGGACCACACCCTACTTGGGCAGCCTGGGCTCTGATCCCTTCTCTACTTTGATATGGATTCCTCCCCATTTTGCTTGGGCTTTACAAGCAACCACCCCATGAGGCTGACAGCAGCCCGATTCTGCCGATTCGCGTGCCCTAGGACTTCTCGCAAGGGCAAGCTGAGGGCGAGAAACAGAAGGGGTCCGAGTAACTTCAGCAATTAACCAAAGGAATTTGGCGCGTGGCAATCAAGCCATCCATCCAAGTGTACCTCCGGATAAAAGTTGGAGCCATTCGTTAAACAAATAAAAATAAATTTCACCTTATTGCAGTGTTTGTTTCTTTTTAAGCAAAACACAAAAACACTCACAAACGCTTCCAGACCATCACTCGCGTCGCCGAGAAGAAGGCCGGGAGGCGGACTCGTAATCCTGAAGCACCCAGAGGGAGCCGAAGTAGACGCCCAGGGACATGCCAGTGATCAAGACCTTGCCGCTCGCTCGGAGCTTCTCCCAGCTACCAGCTAGTGGGGGAAGCCTACATCACAGGTGTCCTTTTTGGTCGGAAGTAGATGGGCTTTGTTGGTGGATGAGAAACAACCGCCAGGTAAACCGGGAATCGCCATCTATTTTCTAGCAAAAAGGACACCTATGTACATC